TGAACCAATGCTTCTGGTGCTCGCTGCTGTCCGGTCAATGCCAACGGACTCATATCGGCCCCAGGTGTCAGAGCAGAGCTGCCCCCCAGGGTTCTCTGTACTGTCATCTTTACAGGGACATTGACTGGGTTTGAACTGCCAACCTTCAGTTAGCAGGCAGCACTTGTCATTGCACCAGTAGGGCTCCGTGACAAAGCAATGCCTTGGGCACCCAGGCAAGCTCTGTCTCGACATCACAGTGGCTCCCTAGACCCTAGCCCACCCATGAACATGGGGCCTCTCTATGGAAAATTGAGTCGGTGGCTCTTCGTTTTAAATGGTGATGTCCTCTCACCGCTGGCAACAGAAACTGATGCACCAATACCCACCCTCCCGTGGCCCCCAGGGCATGGGCCACTCCTGCCATGTCCTAGCTATGTCTCTGGGCCTGGCGGACAGGACGCGACCACCTGTGCCCTGGACAATCCACTCCCTGCCAGGAGGTGAATCTCAAACCCCATATGCCTCGTCCTGCCCTCAGAAGACTCTCTCTCTCTGTGTTGGGGTCTCCATTCCCAGGCACCCTTCATGGGCAGGCTCCACTAATCGCCTCCATCCTCTTTTGTGTTTTAGCCTCTTGTTTCCCACTCCTGCGCCATGAACATCCTGCTCTGGGACCTCCTGCTGCTCAGCCTCTTCCCCAGCGTGCTCAGCAGCTGCCAGAGGGACTGCCTGACCTGCAGGGAGAGGCTCGGCCCGGCCCTGGACAGCTTCGACCTCGAGGTGAGTGAGAGCCCGGCCCTGGGACTGTTCATCACCCCCCTTCCTCCAGAGCCCAGTGTCCCACGGGGAAAACACATCCTAGCTGGACACACATCCCCCTGCCCCCACCATCTCCAGCGCATAAGCCATGTGATCTTTCCCCTCGACGGCGTGCGAACACACACATGCCCATAGCGTCATTTTGTTCTGACCATGGCAAGGGCATTCTCACTGTAGAGAATCCAACAGATTCGGAGAAGTTTGTGGTTTTTTTTAAATTGCACTTCACTTTTAATTCCAGCAGCCTTGTCAGATCACCCAATCATCAAGGTAAAGTGCACTGCCATACTGACTCATAGGGACCCCACGGGCAGGACAGAGCTTGTGAGTTTCCAAGACTGTAACTGTTTCCTAGAGTAGAAAGCCCACCTTTCTCCCTCAGAGCAGCTGTTGGTTTCAAACTGCTGACCTTTTGCAGCAGAGCCCAACTCATGATCACTGTGCCACCAGGGTTCCCTAGTAAGCAAAGTAAACGCAGGCTTATTAATGTGGCATGAGAAAACCCAGCTCACCTTGCTTGCTGGGCTATCATCCCTGACACCAGGCAGAGAAAGAACCTGACTGTTTTTACTTGATATGCAGGATCCTTGTGCGTGTTATTAAATAAGTAGCATTTGAAAGGTTTTATGCCCATGAACCCTGCTCATTTTATTTAATCAGCCCCCTGCTGTTCACATTGTTGTTAGTATTGTTAGGAGTGTTGCTTTGTTTTTTCTAGTATAAATAGAAAATGAACATCCAGGTATTTACATGTTCTCTCATATTTTAAATTTGGGGTGCAAATCTGTTGTTGGATTTTTTATTCATTAAATCAACTGCTTTGCCATCTATTTTAATGTCAGTCTGTACATAATCATTCTATTAAGTCTAATATAACTCAATTCTTTTGGCTTTGTAGACCAATAAATTTGTTTCAAAAGGTGCCATGTTTCAAACCCCTTAACCTTTAAAAAATAACAAAAGTAACTGCTATTCCTAAGGCAAATGCACAAATATAGAAACCAAAGTATTCTTGTTGCACAAAGGCACCGTGGCCTTGCTCCCAGCTCCCAAACTCTTCCTACTTTCTCAGCAATAAAATCTTGAACCAAAAAACCAAACTCACTGACATTGAGTCTGTTCTGACTCCTAGCAACCACAGAGGGCAGGGTACAAACTGCTCCTGTGGATTTCCGAGACTGTAACACTTCCTGGGAGTAGAAAGTCCTGTCTTTAACTGGCAGAGCAGATAGCGGTTTTGAGCAGCTGGTCTTGAGGTTAGCAGGCAAACATGTAACCACTACGCCACCAGGGCATCTACACCCTGAAGCCATTCTGACTTTCTGCAGGTGTGGGTCAAACAATGAGCTCCACAAGTCCAAAGGCAGGCAGTCCTGTATTAGGATTGATTCTGACTCAAAGCAACCCTACAGGACTGGGGAGAACTGCCCTTGGGGGGTCCCAGGTTATAACTCTTTGCAGGAATAGAAAACCTCATCTGAGCGGGTGGTGGTTTCAAACGGTGGATCTTTCCGTTAGCAGCCCAGTGCACGACCACTTGGCCACCAGAGCTCAATAAAATCATGTAAAGTATCCCTAATAACCTATTCATCATTGTGTGCTATAAACACCTACTATGTGCGTCCCTGGATGGAGTGAACAATTAAACATTCAACTATTCTCTGAAAGGCCAGTGGCTCATCCCCAATCAGACGCACCTTGGAAGAAAGGCCAGGAAATCTACTTGGGAAAAGTTACAGCCATGCACACCCTGTGGGGTACAGTTCTACTCTACAAAGATGGCATCAACACGAGTTGGAATCAACTCAGCCAAAAGTGGTTTGTGGGTTTGAGGCTTACTATGTGCTCAGTAGAGTTAAGCCAAGAGCCAAGGGGGCAGTTCCACTCTGATATACAGTCACTGTGCATTGGCATCAATGCCATGGAAGTGGGTTTGGTTTGAGTCTTTACAGAAGCAAACTGCTACCTCTTTCTCCTGCGAAGTGGCTGGTGGGCCCAAACTGTTGACCTTTTGGTTAGCCATCGAGTGCCTGACTTACAGGGAGGACACTATATTTTTCCTCTGTCCTACTCATCTGCTGGCCTCCCATTCATCTGATTCCCTCAAAGATTCTAGCAGAACCTCCTGGAATCGATTGCATCCAAAAGTCTCCTGGTCATAAGTGGTTTGACTCTTCAGTAATGGAAATGTGACTGTGCTAGTCTGGGTTGACTAGAGAAACAAATCTACAGATACTCCTATATGTATAAGACAGATATTTATATCAAAGGGCAATTGTATATTGGGAAAACATCCTAGCCCAGTCCAGATCAAATCCAATATTAGCCCATATATCCAATCCTAGCCTATAAATTCCTCTTCAGACTCATGCAGCACATGCAATGATGCCTAACGCAGGAAGATCACAGGCCAGTGGGTAGAAAGTCTTGTGGATCCAGTGGTGGTGGAAGCATCTCAGCGCTGGCACAAGTCTCTGTGTGGCTCCTCAACAGGAAGAGAAAGCAGAGAGAGAGAGAGAGAGAGGAAGTTCCCAGAATCCTCATGAGAAGGCCATGCCCACAAGGAGGCATCATCAGGCTGTTGACAGGCGAGACTCCACCCCCACGCTGATCTATCAAGTTGACACGAAATTATGTAACTACCACAGTGAACATCTCCATTCGCTTCTTCTTTTCCTCCCAGTTGAGTCATGTGCCAGTCACGCACTTACTGTCCTACTAATTTACTCCAGTAAATATTTCCATTTTCCCACAAGCCCAACTTTCAGATCAATTTGGCAGCAAGCTGAGATTATCCAGATGTCATCCATACTCTGGCTTACTATAGCAGTGTCATAAGTGTGGGCTGTGCAAATGTGTCCAGCTCATGTAACAGGCCATTAACCATCTCTGGGAAAAGGCTGGCTGGTCCCGCCAACCAGAGGGTTAGGCAATAAGTGCATTTGCCATCTGGTCTTAACAAATGTTACTCTGAATTTGGCTTCTGTATATTCATCCAAAGACTTCTCCTAAACTTGAGATGATTTTTGATAATACCCGATTCCGCTAACAGTGTGTCAAGCCTGCGCATGGGTTATGCATCTGGTTGGAAGGTGGCACTACATTGCCTATGATTGACACAAAATCTACTTACCATCCATCTGGGCTTAGAAACCCAGGGGCTCACATGAGATCTAATGGCCTCTAGGTTTAACAACTCTCCCACCTGGTTCTGTAAAAGGCAGCGATGAGCACAGCAATACCGTGAACATTTAGCAGGGGTGGGGAATGAGTGGCCCTTGGCCTTATAAAGTCAGAGAAATCATCAATACCAACTAACAATCACATGGCTCACCAAAGAGAAGCAGTCCCAGCCATCGAATTCAGGGTGAGTTAAATAAACATTTGACCGGCATGACCTTTGAATGGTGTTATAAAGATACAATGACCCTTGGCAGAAAAAAACGTTCCCATCCCTGATTTACAGCTTCCTGTCCTATGATCCCTGGTGGCATAGCATTGGGCTGCTAATAGCAAGGCCAGTCATTCAAAATCACCAGTAATATTTTACCCCAGTAAATATTTCCATTTCCCCACAAGCCCAACTTTCAGATCAATTTGGCTGCAAGCTGGGATTATCCAGATGTCATCCATACGCTGGCTTACTATTGCAGTGCCATCAGTGTGGGCTTCTCCAAGGGAGAAAGATGAAGTTTAGTATTCCCAGACTCAGAAACCCACCGGGCCAGTTCTACCCTGCCCTACAGGGTTTCTATGAGTTAGAATTGGCCCAAAGCCAGTGAGTTTGAGTTTTTCCAGTTTGATCTTTTGAAGATTGGACTAAGTGTGCTCAGAGGCCCATTCCAGCTTCAAATGTTTCTGTTTCTATGCACTTTTCCAAGGAGCTCTGGCAGCAGAGTGGTTATGAATTGGACTGCTAACTGCAAGATCAGCAGTTGAAAACCACCAGGTGCTCCGCAGGGCAGACAGAGCTGTACTCCCGTAAAGAGTTATGGTCTTGGAAACCCCCAGGGACCATTCTACCCTGTCCTATAGGGTTGCTATGAGTTGGCATCGACTCGGTGGTGTAAATCTCATCCTGCCAGGCTCCCCACTGTCCTGGTTTCCCAAGGACTCCATAGAGCAGGGTTTCCCAAACATGCCACTGTCAGCATATTGCGCTACGTAAGTCTCTGTGGTGGGAGCTGTCTTGTGCATTTTAGGGTGCTTAACAGTGTCCCTGGCCTCGATCTACTAGAAGCCAGTATCACACCTCTACCCACCCCACCCCCCCGGCCCCCGTTTTGACAACCAAAAATGACTCCAGACATTGACGAATGTCCCCTGGAGGCCAAACATTGCCCCCGTTTAAGGGAGTTTTTGCTTAGAGGTCAGTGAGTTTGTTCATGGTGGTAGAATGTCTCTCTACATGACATCTTGGGAAGCCTGTAATCAATACCACTGAACGGACATGGTAGAAATTGTTAAATGGGTATTTTCTTTGGTGTACGGATTTTCACCACTTTTAAAAACTAAATTGTTAAATGGGTATTTTCTTTGGTGTATGGATTTTCACCACTTTTAAAAACTAAACAAAATATGTACTAAAAAGTATTACCCCCAATTGAGGTAAAGTCATAGCTGCTGTAAAGTATTAACCCAAATAGGACTCTACCTGGCTTTCTTCAAAGCCTTTTGGGAGCAGGCTAAGTAAAAACCCAGCTGTCTGTCTCTCAGGGAGTATTCTCTCTGACCACCATGTGGCACGAACAAGTTCCAAAGCCAAATTCTCAAACCTGAGTCACACCAAAGAATTAGCTGGGATGTTTGTTTAACATGCAATTCTTCACAAGGAGATTAAGGAAGGTGCCACAGATGTTTAGCGGTATTGGCTCTGGGCCCCAAAGTTGAGTGGAAGGAGGTCACTCCAACAGAGTGTCAACAAGCATGGCCGAGGGGAGAGCTGCGGTGGCCGAGGGGAGGCACTAGGGGCAGGCCCATATGCCTGCAGGATGGTGTGAGAGGAGGAATCAGGAATCAAACTGGCAAGTCGGACTGGGACCAGATAGTGGAGGGTCTTGAGCATTCTGCTCAGAAACTAGGGCTTGTGGACTGGCCAATGACAGTGTAGGACAATGTGGGTAAGCTATGGAAGTGATCGGAGTTTTTCTTCAGGAAGAATACTGTACCAGGAATAATAACAACAATAATACAACTCGGTTGGAGAAGCAAGGGTCAAAGACAGATAGATTATGTAAGCAACTTAGGAGGGACCGTAGACCTGTAGGTTAATTGTATGGGGAGAGTGAGAAAGGAGAAATTGAAAGCAGCCCTGGGTTTTCAAACCTGAGCGAGCTAGGGAATAAGATGCCATTTAAAGAGAGATGCCAAGCCAAAGGACAGACTTGGAGGTGGGAAAAGTTTACCAGAATGGAATTGTATTCTAGTAACCAAGACCTAAAGTAGTTGTGGCTTAAATAAGACAAGGATTAAAACTCAAAAAAAAAAAAAAACTTACTCCCACTGAGTCAATGCTGACTCACAGTGATCCTGGAGGACAGGGTGGAACTGCCCCTCAGGGTTTCCAAGCCTGTAACCCTTTACAGGAGTAGAGAGCCTCATTGTTCTCCCGAGGAGCAGCTCATGGCTTCAAACTGCTGATCTTGTGGTCGGCAGCCGAACGTGTAACCCACTACGCCACCACCAATGGATTCCTCGTAAAGGAGGCAGAGGTGGACAGTCCAGGGCTATCATCTACGTCCCAGGCTCTGCTCTTTCTGCTCCAGCAGGACACAGCTCCTTCCTCGTGTGCGGATCCTCATCCTCAGTCTCCCCTCGTGGTTTCAGGATGGCCACGGCGGAAACAGCCACGGCTTAAACAGCCACGGCTTGTGCAGGAAGCTAGAGGATGTGGAAGAAAGAAGGGGCCAAAGGTATTCTTCCCAGCTGAGTCAGCCTCAACGTTCCTGGAAGCCCCACCTGATCGCTGCCATTTCTATGTTGTTGGCCTCCACTGGCTATGAAGAATGAAATGGATGTTCTGCTAGTAAGAAGCGGGGAGGTGGATACTGGATAAACATTTGGTGGCCTCTTCCCGGGAGGCCCAAACAAAAATCCAAACTCACTGCCATCCAATCAATACCAACTCATAGAACTGCCCCTGTTAAGTTTCTAAGACTAACTCTTGGGAGTAGAAAGCATCGTTTTTTATCTCACAGAGCAGCTGGTGGTTTTGAACTGTTTATCTTGCGGTTAACAGCCCGATGTGAAACCACTCCACCACCCGGTTGCTCTCAAAGAGAAGACAGGCGTTGTTGGTGAAGATGTTAGGCAGGGATTAGAGCAGTGACTGGGCAGGTTCAGGACATCAGAAAAACAGCTGTGAAATACCAGATGCTGGAAGGGGTAACTTGATAGAAGTGACAACTGAAATCACTGAAATGAACAAACTCACCGAGGGACCATGCGTAAATGGAAGGAGAGAAGTCTGGAGACACCTTCAGAACTGGAGTCCTGAGTGCAATACCACGCGGAAAGGCTTCAGAAGGGGATGTGTGGTCCACATTGCCAAATGCCACAGGGTCAGGAGAATGAGGCGTAAGCAGGACGGCAGGATCTGGCGACTGAGACGTCGTCAAGAAGGCACGGTTAGTTAGAGTGGACGAGGACGGCGTCCAGATGCCCACGAGCCGAGAGGTCGTAGCTGCAATATGCGGACACTGGCGGCACCGCGTACAGACCACATTCAGGAGAAGCTTGTGGGCAGCTATCGGGGTTCCTAGGTTGGGAGTCAGGGGCAAAGACTTGCAGAAGAAATAGAATTTAAGGAGGGTTTCTTTTTCTTTATTTCATGAAGCGGAACAACCTATAATGTCTGTGTGACATCTGCTGCCTAACTCATTGCACTTGGGGCTTAGGGATCAGGTTTGAAAGCTTGCCCTTGGAGACATCTGTACACCCTGCACAGCTGTGTGAGCGCTTTGGGCTCCCCGGATGGGGGACTTGGGACACACACAAAAGCAGTAGATCTTGGTGGCTGCAAAGCCAGGTTAGCGCTCCAAGGTGTGGATGAAGGGTTCTGCAGCTCCCCACTGACCAGTGTTGACAAGGTTAGGCTGAAATGGTGTTTCCACGGGCCAAGACCAGAAAATAGGGCTGTGAATCAGGAATGAAGCCAAAAAAGCTAATTGGAAGAAAAATGGGAAGCAGAGACTTCCAGAAAACCCAACCGAAGGCAGGAACGCAGGAGGGGTGGGGAAAGCATCATGGTCAGACTGGTGGTGTGGACTATACACTGGCGATAAGGAGGCAGAGAGGTGGCAAGAGTCCCCAGAAGTCTTGTGGGTCCGCCTGGCTTACACTGGTAGAATCTCTGCCCCCACTAAAAGCTGGGTTGTAGGCTCAGCCCTAAATGCCCAACCTACCTACATCCCAAAGTGGCTTCCTCTTATTTTCCGTAAGTGGTACAGAGAGCGATGAGTAAATGTGTGTGTGGGGGGGGTGTAATGAAACATGAATAACACCAGGATTGAATTTTACATGGTGACCTTAAACAAGCAGATTGGACTACACATTCTCACACCCCCACTTTCTTAACCCAACCCAATCTCCCACAAGCCTGACGAGAACAAAGTAAGATTCTTCATGAGTGACTCTATGCATGCGTCTGGCTTCAAAGACTCACCCAACGACGTCACAGGATGCAGTTTGGGGTGCACTTAACTTGTTCCAACCAGCTGTCGCACCTTGGGTAAATTAACAAACTTTCTCTGGGTCCCAGTTTCTTCGCTTGCAAATTGCAGTATTTGACTGGCTGGTTTTGTTTCCAACTCTGAGATTCTCTCAAGTCTATAAAACTTAACTATCTATGTGGGGAACCACTGCACTCACTCCACCACGTCGACGTTGACTTTAGGGCAGGGTGGAACTGCCCCTAGCTCGGAGTTTCTGATACGGTAACTCTCCACGGGATAGAAAGTCCCAGATTCTTTCTCCCGTGAAACAGAGCTGGTGGTTTCGAACTGCTGACACTGGGGTTAGCAGTCCAATTCATAACCACTATGCCACCAGGGCTCCCAAAACTATTGCTCAATACTCAGTAAATAGCTATTTGGGGAACATTTGCATATGTATATGCAAATACACTCACTGCCATCCAGTTGATTCCGACTTTTTAAGGACAGAGTAGACTTGCCCCTGTGGGTTTCCGGGACTGTAACTCTTCACAGGAATAAAAAGCCTCATGTTTCCATCTGCAGATCAGCTGGTGGTTTCAACTGCTGACCTTGCAATTAGCAGCCCAACGCATAACCACTACGCCACCAGGGCTCCTTGCATGGGGCTGTAGATAAAGACCAATGATGACTGTCTCCTCCATTGCTCTGACTAACAGAGGTTCCTGTGTCTCCCCACCCTACCCCCCTCCCATCCTCCTTGCCATCGGCAGGTGTGTATCCTTGAGTGTGAAGAGAAGGTCTTCCCAAGCCCTCTCCTGACGCCATGCACCAAGGTCCTGGCCAGGAGGTCCTGGCAGCTCAGCCCTACTGACCCAGAGGATGAGGCTACGACTCTTTACCAGCCGAGAGCGTCTGAGATGCAGAACCTCAAGCGCATGCCCCGAGTCAGGAGCCTGATGCAAGAACAGGAAAGCACGCAGCCTGCCCCAGAGGAGGCCGGAGAGATGGAGCAGAAGCAGCTGCAGAAGAGGTTTGGTGGTTTCACCGGGGCCCGGAAGTCTGCCCGGAAGTTGGCCAACCAGAAGCGGTTTAGTGAGTTTATGAGGCAGTACCTCGTCCTGAGCCTGCAGTCCAGCCAGCGCCGGCGCACCCTGCACCAGAATGGTAATGTGTAGCCGGGAAGGGGAGCCCCTCCCAGCTGCACCGTCCACTTCAACCCATGAGTGAGTTGGGCACAAATGAGCTGGGGGCAAGAAGAGACCTTGTATGCCCAGCCATCTTACCCTTCTTCCCAGTCATGGCAGCGTTTCCCGCCCACCCCAGACACACACAACCTCAGACTCACATCACACAACCTCAAGGAGTTAGCTGCTCTGCGGTCAGGGAGGTAGTCATCACTTTCCCTCCTAAAATGGGAACTCATCGGTCCTTCCTTTGCTCTAAGGAACGGAGATATTTTTTTCAAGGATTGCTCCTGGAGGCTGAGCTCCCATTTAAAGCTTGGTTACCATGGGGACAATAGTAGTGTGTTAAGATAACTAATTCTTCTCTATCCAGGAGCTTAGTTACTATGGGGACAGTTAAGTGGACCAATTTGCCTATCCAGTTTCCATGGCAACCATTCAGCTCACCTTACCTCGGAGACTTCATCTCTGAAAGAACCAATAGCCGGACCTACTCTTAGTCATTCACAGAGTCTGACGACTGCTTAGGAGGTTGTCACATTTCATCTTCAAAGAGAGCATCTCCCGATCCTCGCCCCTCCCTCCTGTGTCTTAGGTGACTGGGTTCTATGGGAACTATTAAACTTCCCCCGCCTCCACCAGCCACTCAGTGCGTGTGAGGACCAGCAGTTATACTTTCTGCTTCTCCTTCCTCCACGAGCCACTTGCCCATCCTACCACCTTGCCAGAGCCGGGCTGCTTCTTCACCACTGATGGCAGCATCACTTCAAGGATTTGTCCCGACTGACCTAGTATCTTTTAGACTAGGAACTCAGTGTGCCGTGCAAGCCCCCCCACCTCCCTGGCCAATCCTTCTTCATTTTTCACTTCTTCCCCCAGTTCCAATCCTGTCTTGTTTCTTCTTTACTCTCCAGTCTGGTCCCCACCCCCACCCCCCAGGCATGCTCCTAGATGTACACACCACACAGGTTGCCCTAGTCAACCAACAAACACACCACTTCCGGTGACGCTGCAAACTCACACAGTGCAATTTTCTGAAATCATCATATACATGAGCCCTAGTTTATACAAATATGCACGGGGATGGGGTCCTCTACAGAGCCCAAAACATTTGAGAACTTGACCTAATGCAGAGAATGAATCCATCAAAAAATAAAAACCAACAAAACTCACCTCTATCGAATCAATCCTGACTCAGAGCGACCCTATGAAGGTCCCCCTAAAATATTATCCAAGTGGGGCTCTTCCCTGACTCTGAGTGGTACAAAACACTCCACTGGAGCTATTTGATTTTTTACATCCCATCAATCAAAGTAGCCATTCGTAACCGCCCTGTGGCTGTATAATACCTGTGTTAATCTTTGGCTCAGCATGGGGGCAGAGCTCTTTGAAGGTTGCTCTTTGCAGTAGTCAAGCGGGTTTGCTGCCAGCCCACTGCCAAATATGGACATACGAATTAGGTGGTGAGAAGGCTGCTATGTTTATTTTAGCAGAATGACTAATCTCCAAAGGCCTTGAGTTAACCTCATTCTGTTTTTGAAGTCAGTCTGAGATCCTTAACAAGCATTCTATTTCTTTCATGCGCATATCTGCACAGTACCTAACAGTACATCTTTCAGAAGTTACGTGTATTGAATGCTTTAAAATCTTAAAAGATGTTCTTCCTGAAGGTGGCTCTTAAGGGACATGGAAGCTCACGTCTAATTCGGAACCATCGCTGTTTTCTTAACCCCAAAACAGCTGAAGATCAGTCATGCTAGCAGGAATCAATTTATTTCAAAAAGCCATTTGCGCCTTTATTTCAGCAATTGGTTTTTCTAATGTTCTATTCTGCTTCCAACTGAGACAGGCTGAAACAAAGCTGGAAACTGGCTTCTGTTGGCTCCTTTGCTTAAGATGTAGTGCTTAATGGAACCATTAACCAGCTCATTTGAGTATTATTGATTGTTCTTCCTCCTCCACAACCATCTCCCTCTCTCGCTTTCCTATGCATTCACAGTTGCTGAGTTCCAATGTGGAGACGATGTATTTATGAGTCTAAAGCAGGTAACTTAAACCTCGTCTTCATATGCAGTCCTTGACTTGCCTAATAATGATCATGCCTCCAGAATGGGGTGGGGGTGGTGGTGCTCCTGCAGGCTTCTGATGCTGTGCTTTGCTTCCAAGATACCAAGAACAACCCACCTTTCTACCATTCTTCCCAACCTATAAGATTGGGAAGGAATGGGGACACAGGCTCCTGGAAGGGCATAAAGAACGCTGTCCAGAAGATGTAGTGCTGTCCTAGAAGGAATGGGGTAGGGTGCAGACCAGCCTTAATCAAAAAGGTCAAATGGGCACAGCTGACCTTGGTACTGCCTTCCTTCCCTTTCCCTACCCCAAGCTCTGCTCTCCTCTCTCCCATTGCCCCTGGCTTGGTCCTCCCATTGTTGTTGGGTGCTAGCAAATTGATTCTGACTCACAGTCACCCTGTGCACAACAGAACACAACACTGCCTGCTCCCGTGCCATCTTCACAACTGTTATGTTTGAGTCCACTGTTGCAGCCACGGTGTCAGTCCATCTCGTCGAGGGCCTCCCTCTTTTTCACCAACCCTCAACTTTACCAAGCATGACAGCCTTCTCCAGGGACTGGCCTCCCCTGACCATGTCCAAAGTATGTACAGTGAAGTCTCTCCATTCTTGCCTCTAAGGACCACTCTGGCTGTACTTATTCTAAGATAGATTTGTTTGTTCCTTTGGCAGTCTATAGTACTTCCAAGAACTATAGTACAGCTATAGTTCTTCACCAGGACCACAATTCAAATACATCGATGCTTCCTTATTCCATACCCAACTTTGGCATGCATAGGAGGCAATTGAAATTACCATGGATGGGGTGAGGAACACCTTAATCCTCAAAGCAACATCCTTACCTTTCAACACGTTACGGAAGTCTTATGCAGCAGATTTACCCAATGCAGTGTGTCCTTTGGTCTCTTGACTACTGCTCCCAGGAGCATTGATTATGGATTCAAGCAAGACAAAATCCTTGACAATTCAATCTTTTCTCCGCTTATCATTATGTCACCTACGGGTCCAGTTGTGAGGATTTTCAGTTCTCTTTGCATCAAATTGCAATCCATCCTGAAGGCATCAATCCTTGCTCTCCGTCAGCAAATGCTTCAAGTTCTCTTCACTTTCAGCAAAGTTGTGCAGATGGTTAACTCGAAGCCACACTTTTCTTCATAGAATCCAGCTTCTCCGATGGTTTGTTCAGGATACAGACTGAATAAGCAGTGAGATGACGCAACCCTGACACTCATTTCTCCTGATTTTAAGCCATGCAGTGTGCCCTTGTTGTGTTAGTACAACTGCCCCGACCCATGTAGGGGTTCTGCAGGAGAACAAGGTGGTGCTCTGGGATCCCCATTCATCTCAAGGCGATCCATAGTTTGTTAAGGTCCACAGAGTCGAATGCCTTAGCATAGCCCAGCGAACACAGCTAACGTTTTTCTCTGGTACGCTCTGCTACGGCCAAGGCGCATTCTAGACAAGGGATAGTAGATTCATTCATGATGGGGCATGAGTGGCGTCAGGCTTTAAAAACCAAACCCTCTGCTATCGATTCCAGCTCACAGCGACCCTATACACAAGGACACTATTTAACCTAAAGAAACAAATGGCGACACGTGCGATTTCAGCTACCCCAGGGATAAGAGGAGTGTTCCTCTCTCTCACTCCGCCTTCCAAGCCTCCGCCCACAGACCTCCCTTCCGTCCATGAGTGCTGACAGTAGACACTGATCGGGGAGGCAGATGTGCAGAGTTAAGGACACCTCTTGCCACGTTCAGGACTAATGGTTGATCTGATCCTTTCCGTCGAATGGGACTGACAGGTAGATAGGATTGATGAGCCAGAAAAACTGCTGCGTTTGCCACTTGAATCTTTTCTGTCTCTCCAGGTGTCCGGGCGATCCCCAAAACAGCATGTCTCCAGCCCCAGACCTGCCGGCAGGGAATCAAGAGCCCTTCCTCCCTAAGGCACTGATCATCCGCAGGCACTGCGGCTCTGCCTCCAGGTCTCCGCTCCCGGGGAGAAGCCCCCCATCTGGCTGTACCCACCGTCTTCCCCATGGCATGTTCCACCACACCCGTTGCTACATCAGAGTGTATTTTTGTAATTCCTCCAGCTAACATTTAAATGGCCCCAGCTTCCTTCTGCCCTGCCTCTTCCCTCTCCTAGGGGCAGGTTAAAGGAATCAGACCAATCAAATACAAGCCGGGGGTTGACTTGTCACTGCCATAACTTGTTTGTAAGAGAGTTGTTCTTTCTGACTGAATGTTTTCAACAAATATTTCTCCATTAAACTTCTGAGCAAATGGTTCATTGCTTTGCTGTTTGAATGAGATGACTGAAAAGCAGATTACACACACACACACACACACACACACACACACAACCTGCCCTGGAAAGCAAGGC